ATATGTTTAGCTTTTTTATACATTCTAAGGCTGCATGATGCGACTCTAATTATGATTTGAAAATACACTGCTCAAAAAAATAAAGGGAACACTAAAATAACACATCCTAGATCTGAATGAATGAAATAATCATATTAAATACTTTTTTCTTTACATAGTTGAATGTGCTGACAACAAAATCACACAAAAATTATCAATGGAAATCAAATGTATCAACCCATGGAGGTCTGGATTTGGAGTCACCCTCAAAATTAAAGTGGAAAACCACACTACAGGCTGATCCAACTTTGATGTAATGTCCTTAAAACAAGACAAAATGAGGCTCAGTAGTGTGTGTGGCATCCACGTGCCTGTATGACCTCCCTACAACGCCTGGGCATGCTCCTGATGAGGTGGCGGATGGTCTCCTGAGGGATCTCCTCCCAGACCTGGACTAAAGCATCCGCCAACTCCTGGACAGTCTGTGGTGCAACGTGGCGTTGGTGGATGGAGCGAGACATGATGTCCCAGATGTGCTCAATTGGATTCAGGTCTGGGGAACGGGCGGGCCAGTCCATAGCATCAATGCCTTCCTCTTGCAGGAACTGCTGACACACTCCAGCCACATGAGGTCTAGCATTGTCTTGCATTAGGAGGAACCCAGGGCCAACCGCACCAGCATATGGTCTCACAAGGGGTCTGAGGATCTCATCTCGGTACCTAATGGCAGTCAGGCTACCTCTGGCGAGCACATGGAGGGCTGTGTGGCCCCCCAAAGAAATGCCACCCCACACCATGACTGACCCACCGCCAAACCGGTCATGCAGGAGGATGTTGCAGGCAGCAGAACGTTCTCCACGGCGTCTCCAGACTCTGTCACGTCTGTCACGTGCTCAGTGTGAACCTGCTTTCATCTGTGAAGAGCACAGGGCGCCAGTGGCAAATTTGCCAATCTTGGTGTTCTCTGGCAAATGCCAAACGTCCTGCACGACGTCGGGCTCTCATACCACCCTCATGGAGTCTGTTTCTGACCATTTGAGCAGACACATGCACATTTGTGGCCTGCTGGAGGTCATTTTGCAGGGCTCTGGCAGTGCTCCTCCTGCTCCTCCTTGCACAAAGGCGGAGGTAGCAGTCCTGCTGCTGGGTTGTTGCCCTCCTACGGCCTCCTCCACATCTCCTGATGTACTGGCCTGTCTCCTGGTAGCGCCTCCATGCTCTGGACACTACGCTGACAGACACAGCAAACCTTCTTGCCACAGCTCGCATTGATGTGCCATCCTGGATGAGCTGCACTACCTGAGCCACTTGTGTGGGTTGTAGACTCCGTCTCATGCTACCACTAGAGTGAAAGCACCGCCAGCATTCAAAAGTGACCAAAACATCAGCCAGGAAGCATAGGAACTGAGAAGTGGTCTGTGGTCACCACCTGCAAAACCAGTCCTTTATTGGGGGTGTCTTGCTAATTGCCTATAATTTCCACCTGTTGTCTATTCCATTTGCACAACAGCATGTGAAATGTATTGTCAATCAGTGTTGCTTCCTAAGTGGACAGTTTGATTTCACAGAAGTGTGATTGACTTGGAGTTACATTGTGTTGTTTAAGTGTTCCCTTAATTTTTTTGAGCAGTGTAGTTGCATGAAAGGCATGCGCTCGGCTCTGTTTCTTACGCAGGCTGCACACACTTCATCAGTCTCTCATTCACAATTTGACAACACTTGATAATATTCTCACCAGGCCTTGAATTTGCCAGCGGCATCCCCTTGTGTGGCTGCAATGCCCCCTAAAAAAATCCATGGCTTTTGTGGCCAAAGTGGCCGTTGAGCCCTTGGGCTGAATATAATAATTATAATTCCCTTCTCCCTGCTGCCAATCGCCTTGCTCCAAAGCACCTCTCACTCACATGGCTCTCTCAAATTATTTTTAGCCAATGCCCGTCACGTGATCGGGTCCTTCTCACAGGCATCTCAGCTCTGAAGTAGGCTTCAACTGAAGACAGACACATCTGCGCACTGCGCACGTCCCTCTTATCGAATTCCGAGGCGCATATTGAAGATGTTAGAAGAACTGTACACATTTACTTCGTCAGCCAACAAGATGAGTAGGCCTAACGAACAGCAAAAACACTAGCCTACGTCAATCTACTATCCCCCGTAGTACATAAGTTTACCTATTATATTGGTCAACTTGTCCTTCTGTGCGAGAAATTAATATTCCAAACATACTCTGGGACAGTTGTGGGATGCGACAGATCCCAAATTAATACAACCACACACATCAACAAACCTTTTAAAAGCAATGAGGCTGATGCAACAGAACGTTTAGCTTAAAATGTTGATAAACTACTAGGCTATTTCTTCACATTATAAGCGCAGCAATGCGCACACGGCGCGAATGTTCCAAAATGCAATCATTTAGCGGGAAAACACTGTTCTCAAACGTGACCGCAAATGCGATTATGAATCTAATGCTTTATTATAAAGGTGCATTTTTATGGTGAAAATTATCTTACCCAAACTTGAAACTCACGTGCTGCCTATGTATGCCAGTAAGGCTCTACACTGGTTGTAAAGAGGATTCATGTGCTTAATTTTAAAGAGGTTATTTGGCCACTTTAGTTGTGATTATCAAAACATATAGGCCTATGGGCTAGGCGACTATGATTTTAAAAAGTTGCAAAAAAAAGCCATGCGCTGTTTCTTGCATTACTGCACACGCTGGGCATCATTCACAAGTGACAATACATCAATCACAAGTGATGGCCTAATATTGTCATCCATCAGACTTTTCTTCATTTAAATCGTGTCTTTACATATACTTAATAATATATGTTCGAAATATGGACCATTATCATGCACCTGTCTTGGAACAGGGGCAGTGCAAAAAATAAACATGTCATCTATGCACTTAAATAGCGAATGGTGGACACCTTTCCCATGGTTCATTTTCATGCCAGCCAGGTAGGCTATACTCCTGTTTTAAAGAAAAGCAATGTGCTTAATATTAGGGAAGTTGAGAAATAAATACAGCATGCATAGCCTATAGAAAGCTGATGGGATCCTCCTACTTTTAATAGAGGCCATCAAAACTCTGTTTTCTCACGCAATTGCAGAAATGTTGCACAACATGAGCTCTCATCAAGTGTTTGATTTTCGATTTATTTGCTTTGATGTTACAGTGCCTTGCAAAAGTATTCATCCCCCTTGGCATTTTTCCTATTTTGTTGCATTACAACCTGTAATTTAAATGGATTTTTATTTGGATTTCGTGTAATGGACATACACAAAAAAGTCAAAATTGGTGAAGTGAAATTTTAAATGAAATTTAAAAAAAAACTTGTTTAAAAAAAATGAAGCCCCAAATTAAGATCTGGTGCAACCAATTACCTTCAAAAGTCACATAATTAGTTAAATAAAGTCCACCTGTGTGCAATCTAAGTGTCACATGATCTGTCACAAGATCTCAGTATATATACACCTGTTCTGAAAGGCCCCAACACCACTAAGCAAGGGGCACCACCAAGCAAGCAGCACCATGAAGACCAAGGAGCTCTCCAAACAGGTCAGGGACAAAGTTGTGGAGAAGTACAGATCAGGGTTGGGTTATAAAAAAGTGAGCTGGGCTTTACGGAAGAGTGGCCAGAAAAAAGCCATTGCTTAAATAAAAAAATAAGCAAACACGTTTGGTGTTCGCCAAAAGGCATGTGGGAGACTCCTGAAACATATGGAAGAAGGTACTCTGGTCAGATGAGACTAAAATTGAGCTTTTTGGCCATCAAGGAAAATGCTATGTCTGGCGCAAACCCAACACCTCTCATCACCCCGTAGTCCCATGTAGCTCAGTTGGTAGAGCATGGCGCTTGCAACGCCAGGTGGCAGCATCATGCTGTGGGGATGTTTTTCCATCGGCAGGGACTGGGAAACTGGTCAGAATTGAAGGAATTATGGATGGCGCTAAATGCAGGGAAATTCTTGAGGGAAACCTGTTTCAGTCTTCCAGAGATTTGAGACTGGGACGGAGGTTCACCTTCCAGCAGGTCAATGACCCTAAGCATACTGCTGAAGCAACACTCAAGTGGTTTAAGGGGAAACATTTTAATGTCTTGGAATTGCCTAGTCAAAGCCCAGACCTCAATCCAATTGAGAATCTGTGGTATGACTTAAAGATTGCTGTACACCAGCGGAACCCATCCAACTTGAAGGAGCTGGAGCAGTTTTGCCATGAAGAATGGGCAAAAATCCCAATGGCTAGATGAGCCAAGCTTATAGAGACATACCCCAAGAGACTTGCAGCTGTAATTGCTGCAAAAGGTGGCTCTACAAAGTATTGACATGGGGGGGGGGGGGGGGGGGGGTGAATAGTTATTCACGCTCAAGTTCTGTTTTTTTGTCTTATTTCTTGTTTGTTTCACCCCCAAAAATATTTTGTATCTTCAAAGTGGCAGGCAAATGATACAAACCCCAAGAAAATCCATTTTAATTCCAGGTTGTAAGGTGTGGTCCTCTGTAGCTCAGCTGGTAGAGCACGGCGCTTGTAACGCCAAGGTAGTGGGTTCGATCCCCGGGACCACCCATACACAAAAATGTATGCACGCATGACTGTAAGTCGCTTTGGATAAAAGCGTCTGCTAAATGGCATATTATTATTATTATATTATTATATTATAGTAACAAAATAGGAAAAATGCCAAGGGGGGTGAATACTTTCGCAAGTGATTAGACGAACAATAGAGTGCTGAGTACCAGGCTGTTAGCAAGTTTGGTAAGCTACTAATAACCATCAGCAGCATCAGAGCTTGGAGAAGCCTAGATACCGTGACTAAATGGTCACGTGGAATTTGACTGTGGTCATGAACGCCAGTGTGGCGGTAATACGGTCACTATAACGGCCCTAGGAAGGTGTTCTTAATGTTTTGTACACTCAGTGTATATTATGATTACTCTCATTTATATTAGTCTCCTTTGTTAAGGATTTGTGAATCCTACTCTCAAAAATAAGGTAGTAAAAGAAAGGTTTAGAGTCATCCATGGAGGAAGCACTGGGGGAGGAGCTCTGCTGATAGGATCATGAGTGACGGGGCTGTGGGAGTGGGAGGGGAGTTGTCATTAGGGCCCTGCCCCACACAGTCACTTCTGAACGGGCCTGGAACAGAGCCCTGTGGGACACCACCCTGACCCTGGGGCAATGCTGCTATGCCGCCATAAGATACTGGTGATAGAAGAGGCCGAATATTGAGGTGGAGAAGAGGCAGGCAGCGATCCACCAGGTGAAGAAGGAGAGGAGGCCGCGGAAAAGGAGGGGGGTGAACACTGTCCGCAGGCCCCCGAGGGCCACCGACAGGTGGGCGACTGAAGCCCGGGCCTCCACCGCCGGCCCTGGAGCTGCAGTTGGTGCTGCCACCATGGCATGATCAGAGTTAATCTCCAGTGGGCAGGGGAGGTCTTCCTCAGGGTACACCCCCCAGGAGTGTCCACCTATAACACAGAGAGTAGGGGGGTACATTAGCAGTGTGGTGGGCTAAAGACTGCTGCTAAATCGTTCAATATACTGTGCGGACAATAATTTCTGATGATGGTACCAAACTCACCTAAGGTTTTTAGCAGCAAGGTTGTATGCAGCAACATCACCAAGGGTGCCACATACTGCAGTGCGATTACACATAGGTAGTAGAAAACCCGGGCCACCTAGAAAGCAGAAGAAAAGAGTAAAGACAAACTCCTTTAAGTGTTTTGTTTCCTAAAACACAAGGCCAAATCTACACTGGAGTTACTTACCAAGAAGGCAGTGAATGTTCCTGAGTGGCCGAGTTACAGGTTTGAGTTGATCTACTTGAAAATCTATGGCAAGACCTGAAAATGGTTGTCTAGCAATGATCAACAACCAATTTGACAGAGCTTGAAGAATTTTGAAAAGAATAAATGGGCAAATGATGCACAATCCAGGTGTGGAACGCTCTGCCAAAGGTGCTTCTACAAGGTATTGACTTAGGGGTGTGAATACGTATGTAAATTCGATATTTCTGTATTTCATTTTTTATTAAATGTGCAAAAAAAAAAGTATATATAATTGCAGGAAGTTGGCTTAAAAATGCAAAAACTGGGGCCTCCATTTTTTTTTACAGATATTCAGCCGCACAGACGGGCCGACTGCGCCCATTACCACACCACCTAAGCCCCTTTTAGATCCAGAAAACCAATGGGGTTTCAGAGTTTTTCCTCATACTCTGCCCATCTGTCAAGCCAAATGATTGGCCTGGGACGATGGGACGATAAACTGACAATTACAGACATCGACATTGCCTCCCCTGTTACCGAAGCATTTTGCTTACGTCTGTATTTTGACTGTAATAGATTGTTGTAAAACCATTATTTGGTCAACTGTAATAGCCTATGCACAAAGATGTCGGCAAATTCTCTGAAGAGCCAAAAATAAATCTAATCATTCTAACAGGTTGCACATTGAAATATCAACTCATGCATTTCCTGGATATGTTAGATGAAATAGCTTACTTTTTGACTCTCAGTTGTCTTAATACTTAGAGCTCTGCGGCTAATGTAAAGTAACTGTCCATAAAAAAAAAAATATTTTTGCTGTATTTGTTGTTATTGGGCCAAATAGTTACATTTATCATATTACTTTTTGTCCATATTGCCCAGATCTAACACTTCACCCCCAATAATGTAGCGTAATTTATCGCTGATTTATCGTTATCGAAGAAAATTGGTCAATTTATTGCGATTCAGATTTTTTCTCTCCATATTGCCCAGATCTACAAGGCGTCACTCACCATCTTCTGCAGGTCGACGGTGCTAATGCGTCCCGCCTCCTTCTTCATCTGTTCCACGCCCTTCTGGGCCAGGCTGAGGTAGGCCTGGAGGTGGTGCCTCATCATGGCCAAGCGAAGCACACACAGCAGCAGAATGGTCCATAACCGCAACGTATCGTACGTCTCCTCAGTCATCCTGCTGGGGAGAGGAAAGACAGAGAGAGTCACTGTGTGAGAGAGAAAGTGTGAGTCAGTGTGAGGGGAAATGATTGGCCAACCCAAGTCGAAAGTGTGAGAGGAAGACAGAGAAGTTGAGGGTAGGAAAGAAGAGATAAGTGGGGTGACAGGGAGAGGTGGAAAGAGAGGAAATGGGAAGCTGCTTTACATGATGCAACTTATTACAAATATGTCAAACTTTGGGACGGCCTGGCTCTTTGACTTTGGGTGTGGCATGTCATCACCATTCCTGTGGTTTAAAAGCACTGTCATTTCATGTTTGAAAATGAAACTTTCCAAACGAAACAACACAGAGGTGAACTTACAAAGGCACACTCTCCTTCCCCATGGTAGGGTTCAGGATGTAGTCCTTGGTTATGGGCTTCACCCACAACAATACCATAATAAGAGGGGCCAGGAAGTTGATATGAAGCAAGGTCCTGGAAGAGAGAAATAACATAAATGGGTCACATTTTTGTCAGCGAAAGCTTTGCCCTATCCAGGAGTGCCTGAGAAAAGTGAATGAGTCCTCATAGGACGTCTCTCCACTCCAATACGTGTTAACTGCACTGATCTGAAAACTCAGTGTCAGGACACAAGTGGAACAAATGTGATTGGCCATCAAGTCAGTTGATAGACAACTCTCATGTAATTTCAATCTGTAAGGTCTGCATATTATGACCTGTATCCACTTTCTAGCCATCAGTGGAGAGCTCATTTGTACCCATGGTTAGATAGAAGTCCCCTTGAGTCCGTTTGGGTGGGCAGAGAGAGACAAAGTGAATCTAGCTAAAGACAGTTATTTAGAGAGGAGTGAGGGGAATTGAACTAGAGACTGCCATACCAAAGTGGACTATCAGGGTGCGATGTGCTGCCGGCCCCCTCCCCATGTTATGACCTTGCCACCCGGTGTGTGCTGAAATAAAACCCTGCTCCAGCTGGGAAAGGGTTCATCTGACCAGGAAAACACTAATCTCCTATCTACAGCACTCTGGATGCTAGGGGACGTGTGGTGGTGCTGAGGCACTTCTGTACAAGATGGACCTGAGTAGTATATGATTATGGCATGCTATCATCCACACTAATAATCAGGCTAGTACACGACATAACACTCACACAACTACAGCAGCCAACTCATAGATGAATGGGTAAACAACAGCTGTGGAACTGTGGTCTGGTTGAGGAGGAAGGAAAACTGGAGGGAAGAGAGGAACTCACTGTGTGACTTTAGCTGTGGTCAGGTTGAGGGCGTCCAGGTGCATTTGGGCCAATCGTAGGCCGGGGAAGGTGAGAAATGCACCAATCAGAGAGCAGAGCAGGGCCAGGATCAGCTTAAAGGTGAGTTTAGATATGGGACCCCTGGTGAAAAGAACAGAGTCACAGTCATACTGGGCTAAAGTGTACCTTACATTCATATGCGTCAAAACACATACAATCCAGGAGTCATTTAGATTCATGACACCATGCAAACCAATAGAAGAAGCTCTTACTTACTGGGACTCCAACCCCTGGTTCTCCAAAAAATGTGTGGCACTTTCAGAGAAATTTGCAAAACCTAGAACGAAATGAAAACATCTCTATATTTTAAATTGGTCCTACCAATACCAGAAAAACAACAATTAAAGTATATTAGTCAAAACAGATTGAATCCATTCATACAACCTAGTGTTCTTCAACACTGGTCCTGGGGAACCAGAGGGTTTGCATGCTATTCTATCCCATCACTAACACACCTTGATGAGTTGAATTGTACAGTGCTTTCGGAAAGTATTCAGACCCCTTGACTTTTTGTTACGTTACAGCCTATTCTAAAATTGATTAAATTAAATCCTCAGCAATCTACACACAATACCCCATAATGACAAAGCCTAATCAGGTTTTTAGAAATGTTAGCAAATTTTTTAAAACCAAGATAGGGTTAACCAACTTGATTGGCCTGTGGTAAATTCAATTGATTGGACATGATTTGGAAAGGCACACACCTGTCTATATAAAGGTCCCACAGTTGACAGTACATTAAGAATGGCGCCGGAGAAGATGGCTGCCGTTTTACAGCCCTCTAACCAATTGTACTATTATGTGTGTTTTTCCGCGTTATTTGTAATTTATTTTGTACATAATGTTTCTGCCATCGTCTCTTATAACCAAAAAGAGCTTCTGGATATCAGGACAGCGATTACTCACCTCGTATTGGACAAATAATTTTTCTTCAACGAGGTGGCCGCAAAGGATATCCTACAGACACCCGACAAGGCCCAAATCCCCGTCATTCGCATGAGGAAGAGACGGAGATATCGTGGACGTAGGTCGGGGTGCCTTGTAAGGATCCGACGGCGAGCGAGTAAACTGCCGCTCCCATCAATCCTATTAGCCAATCTTCAATCATTGGAAAATAAATTGGATGACCTAAGATTACGGTTATCCTACCAACGGAACATTAAAAACTGTAAAATCTTATGTTTCACAGAGTCGTGGCTGAACGACGACATGGATAACATACAGCTAGCGGGCTATACGCTACATCGGCAGGATAGAACGGCTGACTCCGGTAAGACAAGGGGTGGCGGTCTGTGTATATTTGTAAACAACAGCTGGTGCACAAAATCAAATACTAAGGAAGTCTCAAGGTTTTGCTCGCCTGAGGTAGAGTATCTTATGATAAGCTGTAGACCACACTATTTACCAAGAGAGTTTTCATCTATATTTTTCATAGCTGTCTATTTACCACCACAAACCAATGCTGGCATTAAGATTGCACTGAATGAGCTGTATAAGGCCATAAGTCAACAGGAAAACGCTCATCCAGAGGCAGCGCTCCTAGTGGCCGGGAACTTTAATGCAGGGAAACTTAAATCCGTTCTACCTAATTTCTACCAGCATGTTAAATGTGCAACCAGAGGAAAAAAAACTCTAGACCACCTTTACTCCACACACAGAGACGCACACAAAGCTCTCCCTCGCCCTCCATTTGGCAAATCTGACCATAACTCTATCCTCCTGATTCCTGCTTATAAGCAAAAACTAAAGCAGGAAGCACCAGTGATTCGGTTAATAAAAAAGTGGTCAGATGACGCAGATGCTAAGCTACAGGACTGTTTTGCTAGCACAGACTGGAACATGTTCCGGGATTCTTCAGATAGCATTAAGGAGTACACCACATCAGTCACTGGCTTCATCAATAAGTGCATCGATGATGTCGTCCCCACAGTGACCGTACGTATATACCCCAACCAGAAGCCATGGATTACAGGAAACATCCGCACTGAGCTAAAGGGTAGAGCTGCCGCTTTCAAGGAGCGGGACTCTAACCCGGACGCTTATAAGAAATCCCGCTATGCCCTCTGACGAACCATCAAACAGGCAAAGAGTCAATACAAGACTAAGATTGAATCGTACTACACCGGCTCTGACGCTCGACGGATGTGGCAGGGCTTGAAAACTATTAGAGACTACAAAGGGAAGCACAGCCGCGAGCTTCCCAGTGACACAAGCCTACCAGACGAGCTAAACCACTTCTATGCTCGCTTCGAGGCAAGCAACACTGAAGCATGCATGAGAGCACCAGCTGTTCCGGATGACTATGTGATCACGCTCTCCATAGCCGATGTGAGTAAGACTTTTAAGCAGGTCAACATTCACAAGGCCGCAGGGCCAGACGGATTACCAGGACGTGTACTCTGAGCATGTGCTGACCAACTGGCAAGTGTCTTCACTGACATTTTCAACATGTCCCTGACTGAGTCTGTAATACCAACATGTTTCAAGCAGACCACCATAGTCCCCGTGCCCTAGGACACTAAGATAACCTGCCTAAATGACTACCGACCCGTAGCACTGACGTCTGTAGCCATGAAGTGCTTTGAAAGGCTGGTCATGGCTCATATCAACACCATTATCCAAGAAACCCTATACCCACTCCAATTTGCATACCGCCCCAACAGATCCACAGATGATGCAATCTCTATTGCACTCCACACTGCCCTTTCCCACCTGGACAAGAGGAATACCTACGTGAGAACGCTATTCATTGACTACAGCTCAGCATTCAACACCATAGTGCCCTCAAAGCTCATCACTAAGCTAAGGATCCTGGGACTAAACACCTCCCTCTGCAACTGGATCCTGGACTTCCTGACGGGAAGCTCCCAGGTGGTAAGGGTAGGTAACAACACATCTGCCACACTGATCCTCAACACGGGGGCCCCCTCAGGGGTGCGTGCTCAGTCCCCTCCTGTACTCCCTGTTCACCCATGACTGCATGGCCAGGCACGACTCCAACACCATCATTAAGTTTGCCGACGACACAACAGTGGTAGGCCTGATCACCGACAACGATGAGACAGCCTATAGGGAGGAGGTCAGAGACCTGGCCGTGTGGTGCCAGGATAACAACCTCTCCCTCAACGTGACCAAGACAAAGGAAATGATTGTGGACTACAGGAAAAAAAAGAGGACTGAGCACGCCCCCACTCTCATCGACGGGGCTGTAGTGGAACAGGTTGAGAGCTTCAAGTTCCTTGGTGTCCACATCACCAACGAACTATCATGGTCCAAATACACCAAGACAGTCGTGAAGAGGGCATGACAAAGCCTATTCCCCCTCAGGAGACTGAAAAGATTTGGCACGGGTCCTCAGATCCTCAAAATAATTCTACCATCGAGAGCATCCTGACTGGTTGCATCACCGCCTGGTATGGCAACAGCTTGGCCTCCGACCGCAAGGCACTACAGAGGGTAGTGCGTACGGCCCAGTACATCACTGGGGCCAAGCTTCCTACCATCCAGGACCTCTATACTAGGCGGTGTCAGAGGAAGGCCCTCAAAATTGTCAAAGACTCCAGCCACCCTAGTCATAGACTGTTCTCTCTGCTACCGCATGGCAAGCGGTACCGGAGTGCCAAGTCTAGGTCCAAAAGACTTCTCAACAGCTTCTACCCCCAAGCCATAAGACTCCTGAACAGCTAATCATGGCTACCCGGACTATTTGCACTGCCCCCCCACCCCATCTTTTTACGCTGCTGCTACTCTGTTAATTTATGCATAGTCACTTTAACTCTACCCACATGTACATATTACTTCAACTACTTCAACTAGCCGGTGCCCCCGCACATTGACTCTGCACCGGTAACCCCCTGTATATATAGCCTCCCTACTGTTTATTTTACTTCTGCCCTTTTTTTCTCAACACTTTTTTGTTGTTGTTTTATTTTACTTTTTTATTAAAAATAAATGCACTGTTGGTTAAGGGCTGTAAGTAAGCATTTCACTGTAATGTCTGCACCTGTTGTATTCGGCGCATGTGGCCAATAACATTTGATTTGATGTCAGAGCAAAAACCAAGCCATGAGGTCGAAGGAATTGTCTGTAGAGCTCAGAGACAGGATTATGTCGTGGGACAGACCTGAGGGAATGGTACCAAGGTCCTCAAGAACACAGTGGCCTCCATCATTCTTAAATGGAAGACGTTTGGAACCACCAAGACTCTTCCTAGAGCTGGCCTCCCGGCCAAACTGAGCAATTGGGGGAGAAGGGAGGTGACCAAGAACCTGATGGTCACTCTGACATAGCTCTAGAGTTCCTCTGTGGAGATGGGAGAACCTTCCAGAAGGACAACCATCTCTGCAGCACTCCACCAATCAGGCCTTTATGGTAGTGGCCAGAAGGAAGCCACTCATCAGGAAAAAGCACGACAGCCCGCTTGGAGTTTGCCAAAAGGTACCTAAAGACTCTCAGACCATGAGCAATAAGATTCTCTGGTCTGATGAAACCAAGATTGAACTCTTTGGCACCATCCCTACGGTGAAGCATGGTGGTGGCAGCATCATGCTGTGGGGATGTTTTTCAGCGGCAGGTATTGAGAGACTAGTCAGAATCGAGGCAAAGATGAATGGAGCAAAGTGCAGAGAGATCCTTGATGAAAACCTGCTCCAGAGTGCTCAGGACCTCAGACTGGGGTGAAGGTTCACCTTCCAACAGGACAACGACCCTAAGCACACAGCCAAGACAACACAGGAGTGGCTTCGGGACAAGTCTCTGAATGTCCTTGAGTGGCCCAGCCAGACCCGGACTTGAAACCGATCAAACATCTCTGGAAAGACCTGAAAATAGCTGTGCAGCAACACTCCCCATCCAACCTGACAGAGCTTGAGAGGATCTGCAGAGAAGAATGGGAGAAACTCCCCAAATACAGGTCTGCCAAGCTTGTAGTGTCATACGCAAGAAGACTTGAGGCTGTAATCGCTGCCAAAGGTGCTTCAACAAAGTACTGAGTAAAGGGTCTGAATACTTATGTAAATGTGATATCTCAGTTTTTGCTTCATCATTATGGGGTATTGTGTGTAGATTGATGAGGATAAAAAACTATTTAATCTATTTTAGAATAAGGCTGTAACCTAACAAAATGTGGAAAAAGTCAAGGGGACTGAATACTTTCCGAAGGCACTGTATGTGTTAGTACTGGGATGGAACAACAGCCAGACCAGCCTGTGAGTCCTAAGGGTTATATTCATATGGAAGCAAACGGGCCGAAACGGGGAGGGACTAACTGAACTTGTCCAATAACAAACGCTTGTTTCGGTTAAAAACATTTTGCTACGTTTTGCACTAATGAATAGGTTCCAGGCGCAGGACTGAAGACGTGCTATCTAGCCGTACTGACAGATGGTTCATGGCCCACTCACCTGTCTCCAGGCCAAACTCCAGGTAGTTCTCGGTGACGATGAGGATGGCCATGGCTTTGACGAAGAAGAAGAAAGCGAAGGTGATGCAGAGCGAGCGCTCGCCGCCCTCCTCCAGCTTGAAGTAGAAGGCCGTCAGGGAGAACAGAGTCTTACTGTGGGGCACGGGAGTTAAGAAACACGCCAGCAGAAACACATAACTCATGAAACATAGCCTACTAATCATATTGCTGAGTGCCAAGGCTGTGCAGAGATGTTTCTGGAGTAATGGTGGTGGCTCAATAACATAATAGACCAGACGTATCAGAAGCACTACTGCATTGTGACCCACAACACACACGCACACACACGCGCACACACACACAGTCTAGCTCATACATTAGCATGGGGTTCAATGGCCCAGGCTTCCTCAGACCTAGAATGGTATTTCTAATGGGCTAAGTAAGGACTCATATGAGCTGGCCTCGGTCTCCATGGAGAGGGAGATCAGCCTTTATTTCACAAACCAATGTCTCAGACCATTCTGAATGGGGGAATCCAATGGACTTTTTCTGGGGGTCACAACCGGGATACTAAAGGGCTGCATTTTAAAAAGGTACCTGACAACTTAGAGCTAGCCTCTCAAAAGAGCAATGCAGCCCCATTGACAGAGCTGTCAGTGAGGCTGCTGCTAACGTAACCCTAAACACTACCTGGGAAGCAGCCACAGAAAGTAAGCTGCAAATATTGCAGCAGCATTTCTGTAAGAGCAGCTTTTGCCCGCTTCCAGTTATACCATCACTGATTGTGTTTATAAGTCTAGGCTAACCAACATGTTGCTCGACAGGATGTCTACTTGATGTGCATTAGTTTGGGTGTTCAACATCATCAACGTTTACAGAAATCCCTTTCTGTTTGGTGCAATCACAGAGCTCAGGAACAATCAGGAGTTCTAATACTGAGCCACTGCAACCTGGGTGTTTTTCGGAACTTTCACCAAAAATATTATCTGCTAAATCCATTCAAATTTAGCCATTTTAAGATTCCATTCCATGGCTGAGTTGCGCTTACTCGAGGTTAACACAGCAGGTGCCTGGCTGCAGCCTCTGGCTCTTTACCACGCCGAGAGGTTCACTGGAGATGGGAATCTGAAATCAAGTGTGCCATTAACACACAGACCATCGCATCCCCATCATCATCTTCATCATCCATCCAGCCGTGCTCCTCCTCCTCCTCCTCCAAGTCTCCTCTTTTCCCAGGCAAATCAGTCTGGTGGGCTGTGAAAATTGGGCATCCAATCTTCCTCAGCAGGCAGGCAGGAAATGACATGCCTTCCGACCGCACTCAGCCAGTTCCGACAGGGAGTGTGGCAAAGGACTGTGGTGAAGGATAACACGTATGATTTGGTGACGCGTCAGTGGAAAGAAAGTAACAGGTAGCAGGGAGACAGGTGGTGGCAGGCAGTGGTTGGTGCTGTGTCTGTCAGTTTATGGCCACTGCCTGCCTGCTCTCCTGATGCTCCCTGACTACTGAAATGGAGCCTGGAAACAATCAAGGCTCTCTCTCAGGTTTTTTTCAGTTAACCAGCAACAGGTAGGGAACAGAAGGGATGATTCTCAGTGTGTGTGGTACACTACTGAAATCTAACTATTTTACTAGGTCTTTAACCCAAAACTGTTTGCTTTGGCTTGGCAGTGCTACTAGGTAAGATCAAATTGAACCCTCAACATCCTCTAGACAAATGTCAAATGGATTTGATATAAAAAGAGTGATTGAAAGAGAGAAGGATGTTTTGAACGATGTACTGACTGAAGGATACATGACGAAGGCAAGGACAAGCAGGCACCACACCACACTGATGTTCATCTCTCCTGAGGGCTGGGCCACTGTGTAGTACAGCTCTGTGATCAGATACACCACTGTGGATGCCACCGTGAAGTCCACCAGCCACTGGAACTCTGGGAAGTAGTGCAACGCTGCAGGGACCAGGAGCAGGAGCAGGGTGAAGAGGAGGAAGAGGATTAGTTTGTTAGTTGGTTGATTTATGACAGTAGTTCTCAATTGGGATGTTGATATTTGGGGAAAATCTAGATGTGCACAAATACTGAATTATGAAGATTTGTTGAGGTTTAAGTGACAAAACAAAGGTCATAAACATAAGATGATAATTTAATAGTGTTTGTAGATATGGCCTCATACCTAACGTGTCCACTTCTGTGATGCACTTGGTCTCCAGCTGCAGGTCTATGTCCTTGGGAATGGTCAGAGGCTTGTTCTCTATGTTGCTATTGTTCCTCCTGGGACAAAATACATAGTGCCATATCAATACCAGACAGACATGGGAGAGAAACATGTTGTTTTTCGTGGTCATTGTTCCACCTCTAATCAAGGGCACAGCAAAGACTGCTAAATACAAATCTACTGCTATCATGTCCATTTACTGGCTGCCCTAAAGAACAATACATTATACCCTGGACTAAATCAAACTTGATCTGTGTACAAGGTAGTGATGGGGGTTTGAAATAATTCCACTATTTGAATAGTATCATGAATTGTTGTTGGATATCCAGATATTCGAAATACATGTATTTAACCTGAGCACTGCTGCATGAGGGATAGGCTGGCATTCTATTGCTGCTGCTGCGGAAGTTATATGGGGTGGTGTGTCAGACTTGACATAACATAGTAAACGTCAATCCGGGACACCCAAATTAGTATGATATGTTACGTTTTTGGACACTCAAATTAGTATGATATATTACGTTTGGTATGGATCCATAAGACAGATGGTTACCTAAGGTAAAAACGAAAGTAGGGTGGTTGGTTGGGGTGGATGGGTGGGCGTATAAAGGTTGCGAGTTCGAATGTCATCACTGACAACTTTAGCATTTTAACTAATTAGCAACGTTTCAACTACTTACTACTTTTTAGCTACTTTGCAACTACTTAGCATGTTAGCTAACCCTTCCTCTAACCCAAACCTTCCTCCTTTAGCTAACCCTTCCCCTAACCCTTTTAGCTAACCCTTCCCCTAACCCTTCAGCCTAACTCCTAAACTTAACCCTAACCTAGCTAACGTTAGCCACCTGCCTAGAATTCGTAACATATGATACGGTTTGCATATTTGTAACACATTGTACGTTTTGTAAATTCCTAACATATAATACGAATTGTAATTTGTAACATATTATACAAAATGGGTGATGGAAAAATGTATACATACCATAGAATACTAAATTATGTATCTCCGTTTTACTTACAGAATAATACGAAATGCTCTGAGACCAGGTTGCAGCACGCAGCATCATCTGGATATGTGTGCAACAAAAGTTCAACATTCACCTTCTGCTACCATTTCTGCATGTGTTCGATAAATCCAACGTATGCACCACACAGAACGGAAATGCAGCATGTACCAAAACGCAATGAAGCTGTCGGTGTGATCGAGGCATTAGCGACTTTGTTGCTAGATTTAGTGAGTTTTCAGACCACTCAAATGACTTTTATTAGTAAAAGAGTATAGTGACGAATGTTGCTACTTTTTAAGGCTGCCCCAGCGACTTTTGGTTGATTTAGAAACGTCCTGTTTGTGTGCGTGTGTCCGCTCGGCTGAGCTCAGCTGTGCTGCTCTGCAGTCTGCTCCCTCTCTACAGGGCTGCTGCTGCGTGTGTGCACCCGTCACTTGCGCCCCTTCCCTGCCTCTTTACCTCTAATCTCTCGGTACTCTCCCCACTGCTTATATTTATAATAATATAATAATATGCCATTTAGCAGACGCTTTTATCCAAAGCGACTTACAGTCATGCGTGCATACATTTTTTTTTGTGTGTATGGGTGGTCCCGGGGATTGAACCCACTACCTTGGCGTTACAAGTGCCGTGCTCTACCAGCTGAGCTACAGAGGACCACAATATTTAATTTCTCATTGTATGAGACTGAGGAACAGCATAAGCATAACATTTTAAAATAACTTTTAATGGCATACGCAAATTAACTTCATGATATCATCTAGGCCCTATTGACTTCCAGCGACAAATGGATCAACCAACAGATACTTTTCTTGAAAAATAGTTGGCAACACTGAGCAAACAGAGGCAGAGAGACGCCAAGGCAACTCGGCTACAGCCAAGACTAGCTAACTTGTAACAGCCACGTTATTTATCATCCCATAACGTTAACAGTGCCTGTCTTGAATGGAGTAGCCTAGAGAAGCTAGCTAGTTAGCTAGCTAAACTAGCCAGCTATAGCTTGCTAGGCTAATTGAGGTCACATGCTACGCTTTCTGCCCAACCCCATTCAAATAAAACAATAGCCTACCTGTTGGTTGCTTGTTGTAGCCTACTCCTAATTTCACAAACTTTAATTCAGTAATTTATTCCATTTTGCATTGCATTAGTGAACTCTCACTCCACTTGCTACACATTGAGCCTCTTGGCCACTTTGATTGGCTAACATAAACAACAAACTACACATGAAGGCTATTGGTCAGCTACCGGTCTTTTTATGGGGCTCACGTGCATGTCATAAAAACTACATTGAGAAGTTTGTTTTATTAAATTAATAATGAGAAATGTCATGGTATATCCTTGTATGTAACAATGTCTCATGGATATTTTTTTTTTAAATTTAGAAAAAGCCTTTTCAGCGTTAAAAATAGGCCTATATAATTGTAATACTCGCAAAAACGAATACTCACAAGAATTAAAATACTAATGTCCATTCGGATTTTCAAATAACTATGGCCATCCCTGGTACAAGGTCATTTGGGCATCTGCTAGCATCAAACTGGCTAGCGTCATGGAGGGAGTCTTCCTTAACCTAGTCTCTATTGTCAACCTAACCAAGGGGTACAGAGCGCTGATGCTAGCTCTTTTGTAGTGCGGATTACGGCCCTTGTAACTCATAAATCCAATATTTTGTCATAGGGCTACAGGGGGTGACATGCAGGATAGGCTGCAAGAGCAGCACACAGCAGGGATTGGCCCAGCTGTTCCTGGGACCAGCAGACCTTTCTAGTGGGCCTTGTTTGTTCAGCTCTGTGTGTGCTGGATTCAGAAGACAATACCTCGGCAAGACAGTGGAGCCAAACATGCCCTGGTCACATTTCAACTCTGCGGCACCTGACTGGAGAAAAGGGCTTCACAACAAAAGGAATGGAGATGTGTGGCACAAGCAGGCAAAAGGACAGTGATCCGTCTTTTGAAGCATAAGCAAACGTGTGGCGTTGAACTATGACCTGCCTCGTGGAAGCCTAAGAAATGGACTAGGACTACCTCATGGCTCCCAGCGTGAATCTAGATAGCATCAACTTCATACACTTCAATTCTCAAATGTTCGAGAACATTTCACATTGCCACACCTTGCTTTCTGTGTGGCTAAAGGAAGTAACACAGAATGGAGATATGGAATATGATATTTTTTTTATTTTTTATTTTTTATTTCACCTTTATTTAACCAGGTAAACCAGTTGAGAACAAGTTCTCATTTACAACTGCGACCTGGCCAAGATAAAGCAAAGCAGTGCGATAAAAACAACAACACAGAGTTACATATGGGGTAAAACAAAACAAAGTCAAAAATACAACAGAAATACATATATATACACAGTGTGTGCAAATGTAGCAAGTTATGGAGGTAAGGCAATAAATAGGCTATAGTGCAAAATAATTACAATTAGTATTAACACTGGAATGATAGATGTGCAAGAGATGATGTGCAAATAGAGATACTGGGGTACAAATGAGCAAAATAAATAACAATATAGGGATGAGGTAGTTGGGCGGGCTAATTTCAGATGGGCTGTGTACAGGTGCAGTGATCGGTAAGGTGCTCTGACAACTGATGCTTAAAGTTAGTGAGGGAGATAAGTGTCTCCAGCTTCAGAGATTTTTGCAATTTGTTCCAGTCATTGGCAGCAGAGAACTGGAAGGAATTGCGGCCAAAGGAGGTGTTGGCTTTGGGGATGACCAGTGAGATATACCTGCTGGAGCGCAGACTACGGGTGGGTGTTGCTATGGTGACCAATGAGCTAAGATAAGGCGGGGATTTACCTAGCAGTGATTTATAGATGGCCTGGAGCCAGTGGGTTTGGCGACGAATATGTAGTGAGGACCAGCCAACAAGAGCGTACAGGTCACAGTGGTGGGTATTATATGGGGCTTTGGAGACAAAACGGATGGCACTGTGATAGGCTACATCCAATTTGCTGAGTAGAGTGTTGGAGGCTATTTTGTAAATGACATCGCCGAAGTCAAGGATCGGTAGGATAGTCAGTTTTACGAGGGCATGTTTGGCAGCATGAGTGAAGGAGGCTTTGTTGCGAAATAGGAAACCGATTCTAGACTTAACTTTGGATTGGAGATTCTTAATGTGAGTCTGGAAGGAGAGTTTACAGTCTAACCAGACACCTAGATATTTGTAGTTGTCCACATACTCTAGGTCAGACCCGTCGAGAGTAGTGATTCTAGTCGGGTGGGCGGGTGCAAGCAGCGTTCGGTTGAAGAGCATGCATTTAGTTTTACTAGTGTTTAAGAGCAGTTGGAGGCTACTGAAGGAGTGTTGTATGGCATTGAAGCTCGTTTTGAGGTTTGTTAACACAGTGTCCAATGAAGGGCCAGATGTATACAAAATGGTGTCGTCTGCGTAGAGGTGGATCTGAGAGTCACCAGCAGCAAGAGCGACGTCATTGATATACACAGAGAAAAGAGTCGGCCCAAGAATTGAACCCTGTGGCACCCCCATAGAGACTGCCATAGGTCCAGACAACAGGCCCTCCGATTTGACACATTGAACTCTATCTGAAAAGTAGTTGGTGAACCAGGCGAGGCAGTCATTTGAGAAACCAAGGCTATTTAGTCTGCCAATAAGAATGCGGTGGTTGACAGAGTCGAAAGCCTTGGCCAGGTCAATGAAAACGGCTGCACAGTACTGTCTATTATCGATAGCGGTTATAATATCGTTTAGGACCTTGAGCGTGGCTGAAGTGCACCCATGACCAGCTCGGAAACCGGATTGCATAGCGGAGAAGGTACGATGGGATTCGCAATGGTCGGTGATCTGTTTGTTGACTTGGCTTTCAAAAACTTTTGAAAGGCAGGGCAGGATGGATATGGGTCTGTAACAGTTTGTATCTAGAGTGTCACCCCCTTTGAAGAGGGGGATGACCGCGGCAGCTTTCCAATCTCTGGGGATCTCAGACGTTACGAAAGAGAGGTTGAACAGGCTAGTAATAGGGGTTGCTACAATTTCGGCGGCTAGTTTTAGAAAGAAAGGGTCCAGATTGTCTAGCCCAGATGATTTGTAGGGGTCCAGATTTTGCAGCTCTTTCAGAACATCAGCTGTCTGGATTTGTGTGAAGGAGAAGCGGGGGGGGCATGGGCAAGTTGCAGCGGAGGGTGCAGAGCTGGTGGCCAGGGTAATGGTAGCCAGGTGGAAAGCATGGCCAGCCGTAGCAAAATGCTTGTTGAAATTCTCGATTATTGTAGATTTATCGGTGGTGATAGTGTTTCCTAGCCTCAGTGCAGTGGGCAGCTGGGAGGAAGTGCTCTTATTTTCCATGGACTTTACAGTGTCCCAAAACTTTTTGGAGTTAGTGCTACAGGATGCAAATTTCTGTTTGAAAAAGTTAGCCTTTGCTTTCCTAACTGCTTGTGTATATTGGTTCCTAACTTCCCTGAAAAGTTGCATATCGCGGGGGCTATTTGATGCTAATGCAGTACGCCACAGGATGTTTTTGTGCTGGTCAAGGGCAGTCAAGTCTGAGGAGAACCAGGGGCTATATCTGTTCTTAGTTATGTATTTTTTGAATGGGGCATGTTTATTTAAGATTGAGAGGAAATTACTTTTAAAGAACAACCAGGCATCCTCTACTGACGGAATGAGATCTATATCCATCCAGGATACCTGGGCCAGGTCAATTAGGAAGGCCTGCTCGCTGAAGTGTTTTTGGGAGCGTTTGACAGTGATGAGGGGTGGTCGTTTGACCGCGGACCCGTTACGGACGCAGGCAATAAGGCAGTGATCGCTGAGATCCTGGTTGAAGACAGCGGAGGTGTATTTAGAGGGTAAGTTAGTCAGGATGATATCTATGAGGGTACCCATGTTTACGGATTTAGGGTTGTACCTGGTAGGTTCGTTGATAATTTGTGTGAGATTGAGGGCATCTAGTTTAGATTGTAGGATGGCCGGGGTGTTAAGCATATCCCAATTTAGGTCACCAAGCAGTACGAACTCTGAGGATAGATGGGGGGCAATCAATTCACATATGGTGTCCAGGGCACAGCTGGGGGCTGAGGGGGGTCTGTAGCAAGCGGCAACAGTGAGAGATTTATTTCTGGAAAGGTGGATTTTTAGAAGTAGAAGCTCAAACTGTTTGGGCACAGACCTGGATAGTATGATAGAGCTCTGCAGGCTATCTCTACAGTAGATTGCAACTCCACCCCCTTTGGCAGTTCTATCTAGACGGAAAATGTTATAGTTGGGGATGGAAATTTCAGAATTTTTGGTGGCCTTCCTAAGCCAGGATTCAGACACTGCTAGAACATCAGGGTTGGCGGAGTGTGCTAACGCAGTGAATAACTCAAACTTAGGAAGGAGGCTTCTGATATTTACGTGCAGAAAACCAAGACTTTTACGGTTACAGAAGTCAACAAATGATAGCTCCTGGGGAGTAGGAGTGATACTGGGGGCTGCAGGGCCTGGGTTAGCCTCTACATCACCAGAGGAACAGAGGAGGACTAGAATAAGGATACGACTAAAGGCTTTAAGAACTGGTCTTCTAGTGCGTTGGGTACATAGAATAAAGGGGGCAGTTCTCCGGGCGTTGTAGGAAAGATTCAGGGCATTATGTACAGAAAAGGATATGGAAGGATATGAGTACAGTTCAGGTAACCCTAAGCGTTGGGTAACAATGAAAGAGATAGCGTCACTGGAGGCACCGATTGAGCCGATTGAGCCGGTCTCGGCGTGTATGGGGGGTGGAACAAAGGAACTATTTGAGGCAGTTTGAGAGGGACTAGGGGTTCTACAGTGAAATTGTATAATAAGAACTAACCCAAACAGCAATAGGCAAGGCATAATTGACATGGGAGAGAGGCATAAAGCAGTCACAGGTCTTATTAGAGAGAGCTAAGACAACAACTGGAAATAGCGATAACGTTTGGGCTAAGGCTAAACAGAATAAACTGGACAGGGTACCGTGTAAAGGAACAGTCCAGCAGGCATCAGCTGTGCAGCTGAGTGATCATAAGGTCCAGTGAACAGCAATATGTGAGTCCGAGAGCAGTTCAAATTGGTGCTTCAGCACAGCTAGCAGGGAGCACAGTTGTAGTTTGCGTGTGCTAGCGGGCCGGGGCTGGCAGATGGATCTTCGTGGTCGTCGCAACGGGAAGCCTGTTGAAACCACATCAGAATATTTAGTCGGCAGACCAGTCGTGTTGGATCGGCGGGGCTCAGTGTCAACACTAGGAGGTCCCGTCCGGTTGACAGAGAGGTAGATAGCCGGGAGATGGGCCTGAGGCTAGCTCAAGGCTAACTGGTGCTTGCTATAGGGCAATGGTAACCAGCCAACAACAGGTTGCAGCTAGCTAGCTGGTTGCGATGATCCGGCGCTAGGGTCCAGTGATTCCGGCAGAAAGTCCAATAAGTTCTGGGTCGATAGCACGCTGGGTCGATAGCACGCTGTGCAGACTGGCCGACGAATTGTCCAGGCTAGAGCTAGAGCTGGCTGGTGGATAGTGTAGGCCACGGACAGTGGTGAAGACGCTAACGGTGACTAATAACAGGTAGCCATTCAGTTGCAGCTACACTATATTTTCAGCTTGATGAAAGTTATAAAGAAATAGTAGAATCCTTTCCATGTTGGGTGAGGCGGGTTGCAGGAAAGTATATTTAGTTAAAGAATGAAAAGTAAAAATTGAGAAATATATACAAAATAGACAAAAAAAACAAGAAACGGGATATTTACACAAGGACAATGAATAAAAGCGACCGCACTGCTACGCCATCTTGGAACTTCCACTTCCAACTTCCATTTTACCACTGACGGCCATACAGATTATGTACTAAAGACATTACATGGCAGGCCTACCTTCAGAACTCGTCATAGCATCGTCATGACCCCTGACATGTGGGGATACACCTTGTTTTGTTGGAGTCTGAAAAAACTGCTGTTCATACACTACTGAGTTGATTGTTGACTTCAGGAAGCAGAGGAGGCAACATGCCCCGATCCACCTCTGTAGTAGAGAGTCACAAGTTTTAAAGTTCCTCTGTGTCCATGCTATAGATAACCATAGACTTCCAGTCAACACTAGTTGGCATTGGCTCGCAAAACTACCTCTAACTTCCTTCATGCTGGACACAGAGACTAGGGCTGTCCCCAACAAAGATTTGTATTTTTCCATATATAGACACTTTCTATGTGTTTAAATCAAATCAACTATATGCACTGAGCTTGTCTGATGCTTTAAGCCAGGGGTGTCAAACTCATTTTAGCTCAGGGGCCACATGGAGGAAAATCTATTCCCAAGTGGGCCGGACCGGAAAAATCATGGTATATATAACTTAAAAACAACAACTTCAGATTGTTTTCTTTGTTTTAATACGATCAACATACAACATAAAGCTGGAGCCTGAGGACAGTGTGTCCAAACTAGTACAAGCACAACATCACTATTAATCATAAAACACGTTAAGTTTATTTGAAAATTCTAAAGAAAAAGAACACACAAACACACAATGCCTCAGTGATTAACAGAACTGTTTCACAGATCACATAACTATATCAGGGTGTCATTTCTCAGGCAGAAATGTAGATAAAAATAATGAAATCCTGTTCCCCAAACAAGTGCAAGAACCACAGAGTCAAGAATAGGTTAAATATACAAATCAAATCAAATCAATTAAAAACAATAGCACATCAACATAAAAACATATAAACATAAAGCTGGAGCCTGAGGACAGTGTCCAAAAGCACAACATCACTATTAATCATAAAACACCTCAAGTTATTTGAAAGTTCTGAGGACAAAGAACACCCACACTAAATGGTTTTGAAGCCACTGCGATTTCATTAGCAATGAGGTAGCTAGCTTTCACTGCAGCGTCACGGATGTCTCGGCTGTGAGTAAACACAGACTGCTGTTTCTTCAGACCCGCCAACAGTTCATTCACCTTCTCTCATCTCCGCTGTCCTTGAAAGTTGTCATATTTGTCGGCATGAAGACTCACATAGTGGCGACAAAGGTTATATTCTTTCAGCACTGCAACATGCTCTGAACACACCAAACATACAGCTTTCCCATTAAATTCCGTGAATAAATAGGATGACCATTTTTCTTGGAACACTCTGCACTCTGCGTCCACTTTTCTCTTTTTTGACAGAGACATATTGGGGCAATGAGGGTGCCAAAGCACATAATGTTAAAAGTAGAAGCCGTAATAAATATTGCGGGCAAAACAAAGTAGCTCATTGGCTGCACGTGCTTGACCTACTTGCTCTGCCCCGGTATAAACAGTTTGCTTGCTTAACACAATTGCTATTGCGCTTTCCAGTGGACGCAATTGGAACAGCAGTTTATTTTATTGAAAAATTGCAGCGCATTTTTATACTTTACAAAAAAAAAAGTTTCCTTTTTTTTTTTTTTTCTAAATCATCTCGCGGGCCGGATTAAACCCGTTTGCGGGCCTGATCCGGCCCGCGGGCCGGACGTTTGACACCCCTGCTTTAAGCGAACTGTTTGATGAAATAATTAAGACACACAAATGACTAGAGGGAGTACGACGCAATTGATTTGATTGTGCTGTGCCTGGCTCAGACTTGCTGCGCTGTGTTAGAAAAAACAGTGAGTGACTGTGACTAGCACCCATTGTCTCTCTCTCCTCCCTCCTGCAGCGACCACCACAGAACATCAACAGTGTGTATCGCGCTGTCTGTGTTGCAGAAGCGGCAACATAAGTACAGCCATTTCTGACTGAAAAGTTATGTTACCGAAATCCCTAATTTGTATAGGAAAAACATTCCCTATTCCCTAAACAATTGCTCTCTTTACGTGACACATTAATGCATCACATGAACGTGACCAATAGGGCCTGACCTATAGCATATCATAATCACATCAATAAATTGGTTATAACAAACTCTGAACACCTTAACACATGTGACAGCAAAATGGATGCAGAGGACGTGACAAATAAACTCGAAATGGGGAATGTTTACTGGTTGCTCAGGAGGTAAAGGGGAAGTCCGATGTGATGGAATACATTTGACTAGTTGTGGAAAATACTGGAGATCAAGAAAAATAAGGTAAGGAGCAAGCGCTGCGTGCATATTATGTGTGCCAAGCAGGTGCTGTTAGATTACAATATAATTTTTCTGACCGTTTGGAACAATGTAAACAACACTAAATAAATGATAAGCATTCCAGAGCGTCTGCTTTAATGTTTTTCTTTGTAAAGCCTTTATGACAACAAAGACAAAAAATAGTCGCATTCATTCAAGAAATTGAATTTCCTAAATGGAACGGTTTAGGCCAATTTATTGTTAACACTAATTATTCAATGGTCCCTTATTTTATTTTAAAACTAAAATGCTCGATTGCATTTCAAATCATGAATGACTCCAATGCTGTGTGACGACATGAACAAATAAAAGATAGCCAGTCAAAAGTTCGGACACACCTACTCATTCCAGGGTTTTTCTTTATTTTTACTATTTGTAGAATAATAGTGAAGACATCAAAAGTATGAAATAACACATTTGTAATGATGTAGTAACCAAAAACGTGTTTAACAAATCAAAATAATGTTTTATAATTGAAATTCTTCAAAGTAGCCACCCTTTGCACTCATGCACATTTAACAGTTAGGCTATTGATTATAGACCTAATTAAGTTGGGGTTTCCTCTCTCCTCACTTTTCTTAGACAATTAAGGCAAGGGCTGTTTTCTCGTCTCCTAACTCCGCTGCTGCCTCCGCCGCATTGTTCTCAACGCCAATATGCTGGTTAACTTTGCTATTATGCACATAGCAACATGGTCTAGGAAAAGGCTCCAATTCAACAGCGCACTGATGTGTTTCAGAACCACAGACAGCGACCACTATCCAAAGCGGGAGAAAGCGCGTTTGCTATAAAATATTATTTGCACCATTGTTCTTACATAATATTACCATATACAATTTCAGTAGCAAATGTCTTAGACTGATGGACTGTGCCATCCCCACGGCCTCCACAATGGATCAGTCCACTCAGACAGGCATGAATCAGACAGGCGTCGTGTACACCATGATTATTATTGTTTTGCTCCTGCTGGACTAAAGCAGTCTCGGTCGACCAACAGCTTATTGACCAAACAATCAACCAGTCGACTAAATGGGGTCAGCCCTAACAGAGACATAAAAATGGTATCCACGAGTTCATTGGACTGGGGAAGTAGATAAAGGGCCTCATTACCAAAATCCTGAAGTATCCCTTTAACTCACTACCACAAGATAGTCAGAGCTCATTGTAATTAGCAAAGGCTAGCTTTACTCACGTGCAAAAAAAACAAATACTCTAGTCCACGCACTTCAAACAGGCCTTAAACAAGCCTCCTAAACACTGCCGCTTCATCTCTCTGTTGACGCGCCTGTGTTCTCCACCCTTCTCAAACATCTGCCTCTCCTCTTTTAATTCCTGCCTGATCAAAGACACACCACTCGCTCCCCTATGTGCCACTGCCGTCCCCACCCACCACCCTCCTCAGCCTGCCTCCTTACCGGTCCTTCTTGCTCTTTGTTTTTTGTTGTTTTCCAGCAAGGCTCCTCAACTCATCTTCCGTAGGGTGCTGGTACCACCGAAGACTGGGGAAGGAGAGAGGAGACAGAGGAAGGAAGGAGACAAGTGAGTAATCTAGGTTAGTTTTAGAACTACACCATTGGTGACATATCCCTCACCATACTCAAAAAAGGAAAATGGCTTCAAAAAGTAGGCATATATGATTTTATGCTTTATAGGACAATAGTTTGTGGTTCCAGGCCTACATGATTTAACATGAGTAGGACCATCAATCAGCAAATGAGCTGGATTTTGAGATAATTTACCTAACAAATAGGACAAAGACATCCCTCAAAACATTTTAACGTATTCAAGTCAACTAATACACTCCTGACACCAGAGGCTAGTTATTGTGTTCCTTGAGGACTGGACTTAAAACAAGAGCTAATTTAAGAGCAGCCTTTTGAAGACTAAGATTTCACGCAACCTCTAACTTTGTTTAGAAACCCACTTGTCACAAGCTGTGAGAGGCTTAGGCATTAGGGAGGGAGGGGTGGAGGACTTGGATTTAATATTGTGGACTGTGGATAGGTCTCCGTACATCCGTCCATCCATTCATACGTTAGTCACACGCGATATCTCAAACAGCACTGTCCTGATTGTCATGAAACTTGATGAATGATGCATCTTGCCATATAGATCCGGCATTTACAAATATACACTGATTGGCCCAAGGCGCAAGCTATAGTAATTAACTGAAATGTGTGTCACACCAGAGAGGAAGAGGCGAAGATAGAGAGGGATAACTATGTGTTATCCAGCAGGTAGCATTTTTTAGTTTTGTCACTCACCAAGCGAGGAATTTTTGTATGGAGGTCAATGAGAGTGTGTCGAATTTGGCTAACAAAACATTGAATGGCTTATTTGCTACGTGTGGCTTACTTGATCGAATATAAGTTTCGTAGTGCTTAGGTTGTTACGAGTGTACTGATAAGTAGACATCACATCCTGGCAACTTTTAGAAAAAAATACTTTATATCACAGTTGTGCCTGTTGTTCACACACATATCTGCCCCCTCATTGGCTAGAATGCCTCCTCCCGACTGCCTACTAGTCTGAGTACCAGTCTCTTAAGCTAACATTCCAGTCCTTGCCACTCCTCATCACTGCCAGAGACTGGCCTTTCGGAAATCTCAACGTTTAATATGCACTGGATTTGTTGGAAATAACATTAATATTTGGTTGTTGGAAATAACATTAATATGTTCAATGACAACATGTGGAGACTTGAAAATTGAATTGGAATTTTTAACAAAGTCAAAAACAAACACTTAGCTGTTAACTAGGCAAGTTGTATTTTGAGGCTCAAAATCAAAACTAAGACATTTTGTGGTTGGAATTGCAGGATGTATTTACTTCAAGAATTTAGACTTGAGCCATCAACTTTTGACAGACTGGACAAACAAACAAAAAAATTGTTGCTTAGCAACCGTATACCAACGTATTCTGTGGAGAAAGAAGTGATAAAGTTCCAATATTTGCATAATTATTGTGATTGGAGGATAGTTGTGAGGGTGATAGAATCAGGATCAAAGCCTATGTTCTCCTCGAGCACATTAATGATAGAATGTTCATATTTGAAGATGGCAAGAATGGACAGTCTCTTTGGCACATCACATGGAGTACAGGGAGAGGATTAGCTAAAGAGACTGCTACAAAGGCTAACTGCCTTCCATTTTTGAAGACATTTATTTTAATTGTTAGAGAGGCAACTTGAGTATCTGGTCAATATAATGGATAATTTGTGGTCACACACGATTACTGAAATGTTTTAGTCATACAGGATACCTCAACTGGCCCAAGGGGGGCGTTGCATAATTTGTGAGGCACGACATGTTTTCTGTTGCCTTGTTTATTATGGGAAACTTAATTGCGGATCTCTGGAGCGACACTATGGGCATCCAGCTTGGGACAAAGCCCCCTGAAAAAAAAACAAGCACTGATGAATTATTAAGTGTGTTCTGAGGAGCTGTTTACTCAAAAACACATCTGGCACTACAGTGAGGGAGGGAAAAAAGTATTTGATCCCCTGCTGATTTTGTACGTTTGCCCACTGACAAAGACATGATCAGTCTATAATTGTAATGGTAGGTTTACAGTGAAAGACAGAATAACAACAAAAAAATCCAGAGAAACTAATGTCAAAAATGTTATAAATTGATTTGCATTTTAATGAGGGAAATAAGTATTTGACCCCTCTGCAAAACATGACTTAGTACTTGGTGGCAAAACCCTTGTTGGCAATCACAGAGGTCAGACGTTTCTTGTAGTTGGCCACCAGGTTTGCACACATCTCAGGAGGAATTTTGTTCCACTCCTTTTTGCAGATATTCTCCAAGTCATTAAGGTTTTGAGGCTGACGTTTGGCAACTCGAACCTTCAGCTCCCTCCACATATTTTCTATGGGATTAAGGTCTGGAGACTGGCTAGGCCACTCCAGGACCTCAATGTGCTTCTTCTTGAGCCACTCCTTTATTGCCTTGGCCGTGTGTTTTGTGTCATTGTCATGCTGGAATACCCATCCACGACCCAATTTCAATGCCCTGGCTGAGGAAAGAAGGTTCTCACCCAAGATTTGACGGTCCATCATCCCTTTGATGCGGTGAAGTTGTCCTGTCCACTTAGCAGAAAAACACCCCCAAAGCATAATGTTTCCACCTCCATGTTTGACGGTGGGGATGGTGTTCTTGGGGTCATAGGCAGCATTCCTCCTCCTCCAAACACGGCGAGTTGAGTTGATGGCAAAGAGCTCGATTTTGGTCTTATCTGACCACAACACTTTCACCCAGTTCTCCTGTGAATCATTCAGATGTTCATTGGCAAACTTCAGACGGGCCTGTATATGTGCTTTCTTGAGCAGGGGGACCTTGCGGGCGCTGCAGGATTTCAGTCCTTCACAGCGTAGTGTGTTACCAATTGTTTTCTTGGTGACTATGGTCCCAGCTGCCTTGAGATCATTGACAAGATCCTCCCGTGTAGTTCTGGGCTGATTCCTCACCGTTCTCATGATCATTGCAACTCCACGAGGTGAGATATTGCATGGAGCCCCAGGCCAAGGGAGATTGACAGTTATTTTGTGTTTCTTCCATTTGCGAATAATCGCACCAACTGTTATCACCTTCTCACCAAGCTGCTTGGCGATGGTCTTGTAGCCCATTCCAGCCTTGTGTAGGTCTACAATCTTGTCCCTGACATCCTTGGAGAGCTCTTTGGTCTTGGCCATGGTGGAGAGTTTGGAATCTGATTGATTGATTGATTGCTTCTGTGGACAAGTGTATTTTATAGAGGTAACAAACTGAGATTAGGAGCACTCCCTTTAAGAGTGTGCTCCTAATCTCAGCTCGTTACCTGTATAAAAGACACCTGGGAGCCAGAAATCTTTCTGATTGAGAGGGGGTCAAATACTTATTTCCCTCATTAAAATGCAAATCAATTTATAACAGTTTTGACATGCGTTTTTCTGGATTTTGTTGTTGTTATTCTGTCCCTCACTGTTAATATAAACCTCCCATTTAAATTATAGACTGATAATTCCTTTGTCAGTGGGCAAACGTACAAAATCAGCAGGGGATCAAATACTTTTTTTCCCACACTGTAATTAGAGGAAACGAGGCGGGCGCTTTATTTTTATTCCCCGTCCTCTCGGGTCGTCCCAATAGCTGATGACGCCCTTTGGTCTAAGCAATACTACTAATTATGTTTTTTTTTTTTTTTTTTTTGTGTTTTCAGAAAATGTGCTTTCAGCAGACAACTTGAAAACAGAAAGACTGTTTACAAGTTGAGCAAACAATCGGTTTCACATTGTTAGGCATCCTTTGAAATGAATTGTTCTGAAGGGTACACCAGTGAGGAGATTAAATCATGGCACCGTCAGAAACCAATAAAGCACCGATAGAAACAGAAGGTACAGACTTCTACATTACCTTCCGCTGCAGAGCAGCCATCTTGCGAAGGAATAATGAGGTATGATCTTCTGAATGACACTAGCCATTACCATGGTAACCACCAGCTGCACACCGATCACACCCTAAGGGAGGGAAAACAAATCAAGTTATATTCAAATATGTGCAAAACATTAGGAACAACTGCTTTTTCCATGACAAACTGACCAGGTGAAAGCTATGATCCCTTATTGATGTCACTTGTTAAATCCACTTCAAATCAGTGTAGACGAAGGGGAGGAGACAAGTTGAAGAATGATTTTTAAGTCTTGAGACAGTTGAGACATGGATTGTGTGCCATTCAGAAGGTGAATGGGCAAAACAAACTATTTAAGTGCCTTTGAGCGGGGTATGGTAGTAGGTGCCAGGCACACCAGTTTGAGTGTGTCAAGAACTGCAACGCTGCTGGGTTTTTCACTCTCAAGTTTCCTGTGTGTATCAGGAATGGTCCACCACCCAAAGGACATCCAGCCAATATGACAACAGTGGGAAGCATTGGAGTCAACATGTGCCAGCATTCCTGTTGAAAGCTTTCAACACCTTGTAGAGTCATTGCCCTGACGAATTGAGGCTGTTCTGAGGGCAAAAGGGGGTGCAACTCAATATTAGGAAGCTGTTCCTAATGTTTGGTATATTCAGTGTATAGTACACATATACAGTCTTCCAAATGTAGAGGAGTCATTAAATCATGGTGTTTCATCCTCTGTGAAAAGTTAAATGTACACTACCGGTCAAAAGTTTAAGAACACCTACTCAATCAAGGGTTTTTCTTTATTGTTGTAGAATAATAGTGAAGACATCAAAACTATGAAATAACATATATGGAATCATGTAGTGACCAAAAAAGTGTTGAACAAATCAAAATATATGTTATATTTGAGATTCCTCAAATAGCCACCCTTTGCCTTGATGACAGCTTTGCATACTCTTCGAATTCTCTCAACTAGCTTCACCTGGAATACTTTTCCAACAGTCTTGAAGGAGTTCACACATATGCTGAGTACTTGTTGGCTGCTTTTCCTTCACTCTGCGGTCCGACTCATCCCAAACCATCTCAATTTGGCTAAGCCCAAACCAGATGGAATGGCGTATCGCTGCAGAATGCTGTGGTAGCCATGCTTGTTAAGTGTGCCTTGAATTCTAAATAAAATCACAGACAGTGTCACCAGCAAAGCACCCCCACACCATAACCACTCCATGTTTACGGTGGGAAATACACATGCGGAGATCATCTGTTCACCCACACCGCGTCTCACAAAGACACAGTGGTTGGAACCAAAAATCTCCAATTTGGACTCCAGACCAAAGGACACATTTCCATTTCCATTTTACATTTTAGTCATTTAGCAGACGCTCTTATCCAGAGCGACTTACAGTTAGTGCATACATTATTTGATCGAACCCACAACCCTGGCGTTGCAAACGCCATGCTCTACCAACTGAGTTACATCCCCTGCCGGCCATTCCCTCCCCTACCCTGGACGACGCTGGGCCAATTGTGCGCGCCGCCCCATGGGTCTCCCGGTCGCGGCCGGCTACGACAGAGCCTGGATTCGAACCAGGATCTCTGGTGGCAGAGCTAGCACTGCGATGCAGTGCCTTAGACCACTGCGCCACTCGGGAGTTTATTTCCACCGGTCTAATGTCCATTGCTCGTGTTTCTTGGCCCAAGCAAGTCTCTTCTTCTTATTGGTGTCCTTTAGAAGTGGTTTCTTTGCAGCAATTCGACCATGAAGGCCTGATTCACACAGTCTCCTCTGAACAGTTGATGTTGAGATGTGTCTGTTACTTGAACTCTTTGAAGCATTTATTTGGGCTGCAATTTCTGAGGCTGATAACTCTAATGAATTCATCCTCTGCAGCAGAGGTAACTCTGGGTCTTCCATTCCTGTGGCGGTCCTCATGAGAGCCAGTTTTATCATAGCGCTTGATGATTTTTGCGACTGCACTTGAAGAAACATTCAAAGTTCTTGAAATGTTCCGTATTGACTGGCCTTCATGTCTTAAAGTAATGATGGACTGTTGTTTCTCTTTGCTTATTTGAGCTGTTCTTGCTATAATATGGACTTTGTCTTTTACCAAATAGGGCTATCTTCTGTATACCCCCCTACCTTGTCACAACACAACTGATTGGCTCAAACGCATTAAGAACGAAAGAAATTCCACAAACTAACTTTTAAGAAGGCACACCTGTTAATTGAAATGCATTCCAGGTGACTACCTCATGAAGCTGGTTGAGAGAATGCCAAGAATGTACATAGCTGTCATCAAGGCAAAGGGTGGCTATTTGAAGAATCTCAAATATAAAATATATTTTGATTTGTTTAACACTTTTTTGGTTACTACATGATTCCATATGTGTTATTTCATAGTGTTGATGTCTTCACTATTACTCTACAATGTAGAAAATAGTAAAAATAAAGAAAAACCCTGGAATGAGTAGGTGTTCTAAAACTTTTGACCAGTAGTGTATGTAACACAGAAATATATCACTCAAACTTTCAGTGATCAAGTGACAGCTAAATTGAGAATAACTGCAGATTTGAGAGCGGCAAAATACAGTAGTATTGGAATGTATTCCACTGTTTCCAAATGATTCACCTAAAGGGCGTTATGGGTTTCTGCAGAAAAAGCAGTCGTCTCTAGCAGCATACCAACATAACGGGATGGATGGTGTAGTCAAACTACTGGGCCATAAGACGTGGACAATCCTTATGCGACATGCTTAGCTAGCTACTGATATAGCACCAACCCAGACCACACCTTAACACTCCAGCCAGAGAGTATCTGCCATGCAGCTCAGAAAGACTGTGTGGGGTGGGAGGATTCTGAAGTGTCGACCTCTTTTCAGTCATGAACGGAACGTGTCTGGGAATGCAGTGGGTGGCAAGGTT